ACATACAGGATGTTGTATCAGTATCTGAAACTTTGGAATACTTGAGTCAACAATCCTTCACACTGTGTCATACATCAACATGATAAACATACAGGATGTTGTATCAGTATCTGAAACTTTGGAATACTTGAGTCAACAATCCTTCACACTGTGTCATACATCAACATGATAAACATACAGGATGTTGTATCAGTATCTGAAATACTTACAAATGAAAAGTTTGAAATTCAAATTCTGATAATAGAAACCTTACTAATTATAAAAAACATCCTCTTTTCTCGATAACAAACAATCTCCACATGATTTAAAATTGTTTTAATTTGATTTTATTATTCATATTTTTTACTGTAATTATATTTGTTCCATTACTGTTGATTAGTGATGGTGGGATCCTTGTTTATCCAAACCGTGTATTAAACTTGTTTTTTCCAATATATTTGTACTTTGTTTGGTGAGAAATATATATATACAATAAAGCTGATAACACGAATGAGCCATTATTCGTTTGTAGTAAATAACCTTGAATACAGAAGGCAAGTTGATAAATATTCTGAGTTAATTTTATTGTTCAACTGAGAAAATATGCCTTTAAAAAACAACTACAAACGTTATAATGTCAATTTAAAAAAGAAACTATTATAGAAATTTAATGTTTGTTTTTCGTATAGTTCAAAAGATAACGTGTATCCTATAACCTATGTGGCGTTGTTCACATTTAAATTTGAAATGACAGAAAAAAGAAAGAGCAAGGTAGTTTTAACGTTAGGGAAGTGATAGAGTGAACCAGTGACTCCTAAGCTGGAACTGTAATAAACATTGAATTACCTAATAGAAATGTGGGCGAGGTATATCGTAATTATGGATGTACTTTTATACATATAAAGCACGTTTCAATGATAATTAGGATAAATTTGTTTTTTAATTTTAAATATTTCAATTTCCTTACAGTTTCTTTAACTTTACCCTGTGCATACCGATATTAAGTTTATAGTTGAAAAATGCGAAGTTTAAACTAGGTTTCTTAACTGTTATTGGTAAAAGGAAATATAATTAAAAACCAGGGGGTTCAATCTTCAAACATAGATAATATTAATTCTGAATTACTAATCAGATTGAGAACAGCAGCACCGGATTTTGTTTGTTCTGCTGTTTGAACCGAGTAAGGAGATTGACTTCCACTTTTAAAATATTATCACAGCTAAAAATGCATAACTTATTCAACTGCTCTAACCTCGGACCACTCGGTCTACATTTGGCACGATAACCACTAAGTTCATTCAACTCACAAAGGACGCAATAATTTCTGAGACATTTTAGTGTTGAATTGTAAGTTTAAAAATTACACATATTATTGTATAGTATAATATATTTGTGTATGGAAACGAATGTCAGACATGTTCGTGTTCTCATAAAAATATAAGAAAGTTGAAAACGAGAGGATACACAAAGATATATTAAATCTAAGTCACATGGATATTTTCGCAAGTGCCCTAGCAGTTACACATATACAATTTGATTCGGTGTTGGTTATAATTTAAACTACTAATTGATCAGTAGACACTTTCTTTGGTAATGTTCTACTTTCACACCTTCATATAATTTGTGAACTTCAACTATACACAATATTAAACTGTATTATATGTTCTTCTAGTGGATGTATCTAGTAACAACTCTTCTACCCTGTAATATGTATAACGTGATGTAACAGAGTGAAGGGTTCCCTACTGACTTACAACGCTAGAGACGGGGTCTCGATACCCGTGGTGGGCAGAGCACAGATAGTCCACTGTGTAGCTTTGTGCTTAATTACAAACAGAGTGAAGCTTCCACGAGGATGAAACTGTAGAGGAAAAGATTGGAGTCACGTGATCTTATTGTATGGAAGGAGGAACCTATGTTTGGTATAATCACTCCTTTATTGGTTGTAACCAAACGCAGTTTGTCCAATCCTGAAAGAGTAGCGCAACGATTGGTAAATATCCTTGCTAAGTTCTGTTAATTTTAGGATAGTTGAAAATTAGTTTAAAGTATTGGCTCAAAGCTGTTGAATGAATGATATAAAAAGGGCTTTCTAACCTGAAATCTTCACGGAACCAGCAACACTCTCAACATGAAAGTTTTATTTGCAGCTCTGGTTGTGCTCGTAAGCCTGACGTTGATGAATGTCGACGCTGTAGGTGGAGGATGGAATAGTGGCGATAGTAAGTTCATTTTCAAACTTCATCAATCTTTAAAATATTGAGTCAATCGTATTACTGAAATATATGTTCTATTTTCCACTTGTACCTGTTCAATAGAAAAATGTAGCATTATGAATATAGAGTAAGACATTATTAAAGCACAACTACACTACTAGACTTCAGAAAAAGATCGGAATTGTCCAAATAGTACAAATTTCAATGGTTCTAAGAAGTTGACAGTTTTAAAAACTGAAAAAGGCATTATCTTCTGGAGTGATTTCACTGAAGCTATACACTGTTATATACAACAATATTTTATGATTTATTATATGGGGAAAATACGATTATTTATTTTACTTATCAAGTTTTTATACGAAAGTTGGTTCGTAACATGAGAAAAATGTCCCCTTTATGTAAATTAAGCGTGTTTGTCTTTTATGCAGGCAGAGATAAAGAGAAGCCTGAAAACCTAAATGAGATAAAAAAGTACACCCGAAGATCTTATGATGGATGGGCAAAGCGGGTAGGTGTTTGTTGTATTATGATTAATAATTTTTCATTAATCAATTAATTATAATTTTGAAAACAAAGTTTTGCTAACGCGAATCTGCTAATTTTAACCGAAATTATCTTCAGTTAAAGACCTTCTTGATGATACATGTTGAGAGTTAGTTTGACGCAATGGTTTGATGCTAAGAATCAAGTGTTTTAAAAACGACAGTCTTCAAGTATGGCAGAATAGTATTTGAATTTTTCTTTTCCGTAAATTCACATCGGGAAAATTATTTATGAAACGTTTACATCTGAATTTGTTACTCACAGAAATAATAAAAAATTTCTGTAAGTAACAAACTAAATATCAGTTATAAATTTAAAGTATGTTGCAAACTAAATATCAGTTATAAATTTAAAGTATGTTGTTGTTTTTATTTCTGTAAGAAACAAACTAAATATCAGTTATAAATTTAAAGTATGTTGTTTTTATTACTTACAGAAATAAAAACAACAACATACTTTAAATTTATAACTGATATTTAGTTTGTTACTTACAGAAATAAAAACAACAACATACTTTAAATTTATAACTGATATTTAGTTTGTTACTTACAGAAATAAAAACAACAACATACTTTAAATTTATAACTGATATTTAGTTTGTTACTTACAGAAATAATAAAAACAACATACTTTAAATTTATAACTGATATTTAGTTTGTTACTTACAGAAATAAAAACAACGACATACTTTAAATTTAT